CGACCCTTCATAGCCCCCCCTTCTGACAGTCCGGCATATCTGATAATCCGGCACCCCCTGGGTCCCAAAGGTGCCGGATTATCGGAAGTTTACTGTATAGACCTGGTCTCACTAACTTGGAATGCAACACAACTTTCTTATTTAAGAGAAAACTGAAGCATCACTAACAGCTTTAATCAAATCATGTTGCAAATTTTAGAATAATAAAAGTAACAAACCCAATCACTTTAATTTCTGAAGGACAATATCTGTTCCCATATGTCGAGCTGATTATACAGCAATGAACCCATTAAACGGTAACAGACATGAGAAACACACAAGTTGGAGACAGACATTAAAAATAGATCAAACTTACAACACAATATGGGTGTCTCACTATTTTAGCCTCTTTCATTTAACTTTTATATATGGCATCACATGGTCAAAAGCGTCAGGTAGGTTAGCTATCTGAATTTGGAAAAAGAAGGAGTCCTATAGCACCTTAAAGATTTAAGCCAGGTCTACACTAGTAGATAAGGTCAGATTTATTATGGTAGATTTCTTGCCACCCGATTTTATAAAGTCAAAGGTGCATGTCCTCACTGTACGCAAGAAACCAACATAGTTCAAAGTAGCACATGCCCATTACGGAGACGGCACTGCTTCGCATTTTGGGTTATGCTCCTAGTGCATGCTGGGACCAAAACCGTGCAGCAGGTTGTTCTGGATTCATATCATCCGCATCATATTCATCTACTCCCTCCCCCTCGTTTGAGATCAAGAGGAAACAGTCTTTTCGTACCCTTTTGTGTCCTGGTTACCCACATAGATGCCACAGCAACGTGAACATGGCTCCCCTAATGGATCCCATTTTGCATCAAGCCATTGTAATGTTGTGGTCTACCTTGGTGTGCCTAACAGTGCAGTATTTAGGGAGCATAAGCACATCACTGCACCAGGAAGAGCATCTCACGATGCCATGGGCACACTGTACAGGCAAATCCTTGCATTGAGTGAATTGGAAATGCAGATGGCATTTGATCCTGTGGGAAGAGTGGGATGCCAGTTCTGAGGCCATCAGACAAGCACAGACTGGTGGGACTGCATAATGGTGAAGGTACAGGACTATCAGCAGTGGCTGCAAAACTTCTCAAAAGTGCCTTGCACATTTATGGAACTTTGCAAATGGCTTTCCCTGAAGCGCAGGGACACTGAAATGAGACCCATTCTGACAGTGGAGAAGTGCATGGCAATTGCATCGTGGAAGCTTGCAATGCCAGACAGCTACCAGTCGACTGGGAATCAATTTGGAGCAGGGAAGCCTACTGTGGGGGCTGTTATACAAGTAGCCAAATCAATCACGAAGGGTAGTGACTTTGGGAAACATGGATACCACGGTACAGGGCTTTGCTGCAATGGGGTTCCCAAACTGCGGTAGGGCAATAGAGTGTACATGCCTATCTCGGCACCCCACCCAACTTCCCAAGAAGTATATAGATCACAAGGAGTACTTTTCTATGGTGCTGCAGGTGCTAGAAGATCACAAAGACAGTTTCACAGACATCAACGTGGAATGGTCAGGAAAGGTAAATGACGCACACATCTTTAGGAACACTTGCCTCTTCAGAAAGATGCAAGGTAGAACTTTTTCCCCAGACTAGAAAATTAGAATTGGAGAGGTGGAAATTCTAACAATGATCCTTGGCAAACGAGCCTACTCCTTGCTCCTGTGTCTCATGAAGCCATACATGGGCAACCTGGACCATAGTAGGGAACAGTTCAACTATAGGCTGAGCAAGTACAGAATGGTGGTTGAATGTGCTTTTGGGTGTTTAAAGGGAAGGTTTAAGAGTCTACTGACTATTAGACCTCAGCAAACACAACATTCCCTTTGTGGTAGCAGCCTACCGCATGTTCCATAATATTTGTGAGAGCTAGGGGGAAAGCTATCTGGCAGGGTAGGGGCCTGAAGCAGTGTGCATAACCATATTTTGAGCAGCCAGACAACAGGGCGATAAAGAGAACACAGCTTGGGGCAGTGCAAATCAGAGAGGCTTTGAAATAAATTTTTATGAACAGCCAGTTTTGAGAGTCATGCACATTGCTCTGAACGATGCGCCTCTACATTCAGTTTGTATGCCTGTAATATCCCACCCCTGCAAAACAAGCAATAAAGAGACTATTGTTCAGAGATCATGCATTTTTATTTAGGGAAGGCAGCAGGGAAAGAAAAGAAGTCCATGGTGGGAATCCGGTTTTCAAAGTGGGCAGGGGGCTCAGAAACTAAGGGATATTAAGAGACAGGTAATCGGCTAATCATGTAGTCAATAGAATTTTTATCGACTACATGATTAGTTGATAAGGAAAGGCATAGACAGCCCAGCTCCTACAACATTTAAACTGCAGAGGCACAAGCAGGGGTTGGTCCCGGACACGACACAAGCTGGGATCGAGCAACCCCAGCTCCGTCCCAGCTCGTGCCAGATCCAGGAGCTGCCCCAGCTGCAGCTCTGCAATTTAAATGTAGCAAGGGCCAGGAGATGAGGTTTCTTCTCCAGGTACACCACAACGCTCTCCATCACAGTCATCGAGGGGAAAAGACATTGTCCTGTTCCTTCACTTGCAGTCCTGTGGAAGCAGCCCTGTCCATGGGAGGCCTGAGCTTCCCACGGAAAGAGGCTGCGCTGGTATTCCTCCTGCCCCTTCCCCAAACTTCTGCCTCTGTATAATACCTTCCTCCCATCCCTCTGGCTCTGTGGTAAGCAGCAAGGGGTGGTAGGTCACTCTGCGGGAGCTGATAAGTGCTGAGAGCCGGCTTAAAAGCTGGTTCTCTGTGTGTATCAGCTTCCACCTTCCCCTTCATCCTCTGTGCTGCTGCCTCTCTATCAGAGGCAGCAGTGGGGGAGGGAAGACAGAAGGCTCCACAGGAACCGGTATGTGCGGAGAGCCAATCTTCCATCTCCAGGAGGGTTGCATTTAGTCATTTGGATTAACGGATAAGCCTAGGCTCATCAGTTAATTATCTGAACAGCTATTCGCTGACATCCCTACTATAGTCCAGGCCTAAAAGATTTATTTGGGCATAAGTTTTCATGGGCCAAGACCCACTTTGTCAGATGCACTGATGGAATGTCCAAATAAATCTGTTAGTCTTTAAGGTGCCACAGGATTCCTCAGTCAAAAGTAATACTTTCATCCCAACTTACAACCATGGCCTATATTATTAAATTAACATGCAGTATCACATACTATGGATTGAAAATGTCAAACTAAGCTAAATATGAACTTACTCTTCATGCCTTGTACCAATCATTAAGTTTTCCAGGTGCAATAAAACTAAAATGGTGTCTGTAGTCTGTCCATCCCATCCGTTTAGCCACCTCTTTAGTGTAGCCCTTTGTAAAACCAGGTCTTAAAAGGGGCCAGAGGAAACGATGGGATGAACAAAATAAAAATTAGAGTCATGGTGGGGGGTTGATATTCTTAGAGTAAATATACTTTCATTTTAAAAAGATACTTATATTGGACTCTTCACTATGGAAAATATTGGACTAATGCCCCCTTACCCATTAGCCAAGCTTGAAGAAATACAGTAT